AATGCTCTTAAATACTCTTCTTAATAAACACAAAAACCTCTAAGGTCCAGCACTTTGCTGAAGCCCCTAAGGCCAACTGCCAGTCCACTTAACATACTACCAGGTCATGGCCAGCATTACCAACCTCATGCTACAAACGAGGCCTCTGGGCTCAGGAAGCCAGGGGCAAACCTCCTGGCCACCCTGGCTGAGCAGCATGGACAATTCAACACAAAGGCTGCACACCTTCCACTGCTTCAAGCCACCCTGATCTTAGCTCAGCAACCTACAACACGGGCACCCTAAGAAGACATGGCTAGCAGACTGAGTTCAAACCAGACATATGTGAGAAAATAAAGGCAAGAGTAGTGGCTGGCTTAGCCACAAAAACTAGCTGAAATGAAAAGAGCTGCATATGAAAGATCTTGATGTCCTCTTCCTTCCCTGTCATTCTCCAAGTCCAAGGCCCTGTGCCTGCCATGTTCCACACTGGCCTCCTCCCCAGCCTCAGAGGCCTGTTTCTATCTCCAACACATTCGGGACTGTGGTGTCAAACACTCCCCCATAATGACTATCCCTTATATTGGTGGGAAGCTAAAATTCCTCCACTCAAAAGAAACCCTTCTCTATTTCTATGCCAACTTTGAATACCATTAGATCCTGTCACCTACATAATTTCATACTGTTAATGCGCTTACCATGAAAATGTATGTTTTTGGTATTTTTAAAGGCTCATGTACATTTTAATAATTACAAATGGACAAACCACTGATCACTTCATGATTCTGGTACGGTTTATCTCATGCTGTTTATTTTGGATTGCTTGCAATTTATTACTATAGCAAATAATCTTCTGAAAATGCCTTTATATAAGCATCTTCGAATATATTTCGGGTTAATTCTCTGGAGTGGATTTTAAGAAGCATAAATTTAAAAGAAAGCCCTAAATTAAAGACCATGATCACTCTCAGAATTCTATATATAACTGCCATATTACTTTGGAGAAAGTCTATACGGATTTTCACGTCCACCATTAGAACTAAAAATTTCTCTTTAAATCTCTGCTCACTGAATACAGCAAGTGTGACTATTAAATTTTTATGGTAAGTTTAACTATTTTTTTTCAAAGTCTAGTTTTTATCATTTTGTAAACTGCTCACGTCCTTTCCTATTTATCTATTAACCTTAATGTATTTGTCTTAATAAGCTCTTCAGACCTTAAGGATGACCTTGCATTATACCTGATGCAAATAAGATTCCAATTAACTTGTAATCTGGCTTGTACTGTTTGAGGCAAATCATTTATTAAACTCTCATTATGTAGCCTAAAAGATTTAGCTTTTCCTTTGTCATTTCATCCACGGCCTTTAACTTTTAAAAAGTCAGGCTGCTCCCCAGGCCCATCTTTGAATGCATTCCCAACCCCATACAGATCACTGGCAAAGAGTGAAACCTAACCATTAGAGATATTTTTTGTATTTTTTAGAGAGACAGTCTTGTTCTGTAGCTCAGGCTAGGAGTGCAGTGGCACAATCATAGCTCACTGCACCTTCCAACTCCAGGGCTCAAGCAATCCTCCCGCCTCAGCCTGCTGAGTAGCTGGCACTACAGGTACTTGCCACCAGCTAACTTTGGTCTTTGGAGAGACAAGGTCTTCTTATGCTGCACAGGCTGGTGTCAAACTCCTAGCCTCAAGCAATCCTCACAAACTAGGCCTCCCAAAGTTTGGGGTTACAGGTGTGAGCCATAGTACCTGGACTGTTAAAGGTGTGTAAGCACAATCTTTGGTCAGTCTGTGGCTGAATACTAAATTATGCTACCCAACTGTGAATCCTAGAAAGACAGACTTAAAAATAAAAACAAAACTAAAAACAGACATCAGTGACTGTGGGGAGACAAACTACAGAACTGCTCTGAGTCACGAGCAAGACACAGCAACAGCACATCTCAGGGGAGGTGGATTTCAAGCATCCAGAGCTGCTAAAATAGGTCTAAGGTGTCCAGTTTTCAAATTTAAAAATTGTAAGACAGGCAAGAAAGTGTGACCGTGCACGTGGACACACACGTGTGCACAATAAAAAGAATCAGTCAGTGGAAACTGTCTCTGAGGGGCACATATATTGGACTTAGGAGGTAAAGGTTTCAAAGCACCTAATATAAACATGTGCAACGAACTAAAGTAAACTATGCTTAAAAATTAAAGGACAATATGAAGACAATGGTTCAAATACTGTCTATATTTGACTAACTGCACAACAGGAGTCCCAGAGGGAGAAGAGAAAGAAACAGTTACTGAATGGACCATAATAACAGTCACAAATTACTAAGAGTTATTTTTTTTACTTCCCAGTCTCTTTTTGGTGTTCATCTTAACCATTACACAACAGCAGAAGACACATCCATCCCATTCATACCTGTCTCATTATCTCTTAATTTCAAAAATGTTGGCACTTTCATGTGGAATACTCTTCTCTCACTCCATTAAATGGAGCGCAAGTTAAGACAAGTCATTCATGTAACTTTAACACCACTCGTCCACACTGGTTTTCCCCTTTAGCAAGTTTTCAACTCTCATGGGGTTAAAAACACCTAGACCTTATAGTTTTCTACTAAAGGGGCTGTGGAAATGCCTAACACATTATCTATTGTATTTTGTTCTGTGTTGTATTCTGTTCTCTACTTTTATGCACAATTTATAAATATAAAATTAGGAAAGCTGAAATTGATTCCCGGCTTAGTCAGTAACCAGTGTATAACCTTGGACAAGGCATTTAACTTCTGTTTTCTTTACTGTAAAATGAGAGTACTACATCAAAGAGGATTCTCTATGAATTCCATGAGTTTGTTTCCGTAACCATGCACTCTTTATGAAAGCAGCTTTATATAGACAACAATTTAGATGTGATTTTGAGATCAAGGTGTTTTCCATCTTTCTGTAGGAAAAAGTTGGCTGATCTGAAGAAAAGAGCACTCATAATAACCAGGCTATTCTCTCTATAAAAGGACAGTTTGAGAAGGAAAATGAAAAAGGTATTGACTATTTCAATCTGAACAGTATTACAGAATGTACAATGCAAAGAAAAACCCACCAGGATTTCTAAAAAAGCATGGCTGCCTGGTTTCATAAAGTGCCTAATGGAAGTAAGAGTCATGGAGAAACTGAAGAATGCCCTTGGCACTAACTGAGACGCTGCTCACCATTTTTTCTAACACAATGATTTGGACCTGAACAATAACAGGGTAACACCCTATTTGGAACCTCACTGTGGATTGCGGCTGTGTTAGTCACAACATGAAGCAGTCGCAAGGAAAGCAATGTCTTCTACAAGAATGCAAGAGGAAATCGCAGCACCAGGCATTAAAACTGAAGTTCTCCTACAACCCATAAAGCCTATCTACTGATTTTGTAGCTATGTACACAAAACTACATATAAACTACATTACATACTAACAAGCAAATAAGTTAGTAGAGCCACATTCTGGGAGCAAATGCCCAGCAGGCCAAGAGGTGAAGTGATGCAGAGCCAGCCCCAGGAGACAACATAAAGCAGGTATCCCAGTGAACGTGGGCCTCACGACGGGCTAAAAGGAGTCTGACCTATGAAAGTCGGCCAAGCTGGGATGGAAGGCAGAGCCCAAGCAGCCAAATGAAGAGGGGTGAAAAAAAGGGAAGAAAGAGGGGAAGCAGGAAAGGGTTCCCAGGGCAGAAAAGGATCTGGAGTCGACCAAATACAAGAAAAGGAAGTCAAAGCCTGCCACTGAAGAGAAACGGCATGAAGAGAGACCTGTTCCCAAGAAGATGCAGAAATGTCAAACTATGAAAAATTAGCAGTAAAAGTGGAGGCAAGAGAAGACCATTGTGTTCCCGTACCCAAGTGCGAGCTCAGCAAGGGGAGAGGCACCCGCCACTCTGTTCACCGTGTACCCAGTGCCTTTAACAGCTGCACAGAGCAGGCACCAGATAAACAGTTATTAACGAGTGGGTCCTCAGGTCAGTCTGTCCTGCAGAAAGATGCCAGAGCAGATGGAAGGTGGGCATTCAGGAGGACGCTGAGAGCACAGGCCCCACAGCACAAAACGGTGGCATAGGTCCACGTGCTGGAGCTGTGCAGACTCCATTTCACCACAACTTTTCACCGTTTCTCAACACCTGTGCAGAAAATGAAACACTCACAGTAAAACGGCTGCTGTGCAGAGACACCCACAACTCAAAGGTCTCGGAGGTTCATACATCTCCTCGCCAAGATAAGAAAGATTGGGAGTAAGGAAAGAAATAACAAAATAAATGCATGTTTTCCCCAGAATTCAAAACATACATACGTTTAGAGGGTTTGCTTTGCTGTTATTATGTTGAGTAGACATATACCAGGAATTTAAAATTTTAATAAATTCTTTAAAAAATTATTTTCCACTTCTGTAGCGCGTACAATTGCCACATAAGCTTAGGTACAAAGAAGGTTTAGACAATACAGACTCAACGCCATGAGACTCCACACGGATTTAATAGCATTAGGCTCTGCAGATTTAATACCACCTACTGAACCTATTAGGCAGCAAATTTTAGGGCCCAGAACACTGTCTCTAATGGGTGTAGCATTCAGATGTGCTCCACTAACTCCCCGCCATGTCATGGGTACACATCGGTCCTGGGAAAGACTATACTGAGAGGCAAAGTAAATTAGAAACCCTATGTCTAAAGGACTTACCCCCTACTCTGAGCACAAACAGAATGGCACTCAATGCATATACAATTCTCAAATGTCATCATATGCCTTTTAAAATATCATTTTGGAAGTCTGGCAATAACATGGGGAAACAGTGACAGTACCATGTTATGGGACAAGAGCAAGGGATGTTTCCATATACACGGTATCAAAAAAAAACACAGTTATAAAAACGCTGAAATTAGAAGGAAACCAGCAGATGAACCAAGTGTATTTCCTTCTTCCTATTCCAGGCACTTTACCTACATTCTACGTCACTGAGTTTGCTAGTTACAAAAATGTTTTGCAGTTACTCACCACATTGTAATAGCTTTTGTTTATGGCAGCTGTATCAAATCCTTTGGGAGGGCTCTTCAATGTTCCTGATTTGGGAGACACAGGCTTCTCTGAAATAAAAGTAACATAGTTTTACTGATCAATACTAAAGATGACAAAAGTTCCAGCCCCTCACGCTGCCCAAGGATATTCATCCAGCAGCCTCACTGAATTAACAAGCCAAAAGGAAAGCCGAGGAAAAGGCCTCTACGGTGACCCTCAGAAACCCAGTCCCTCAGGCTCGGCTCACCAAGGCCAATCTCCGCACCGCATCCCACTCTACTCTCCCAGTTTCAAGCTGAAGACGTCTCTGAGACTGTGCTCCACGAGCGTCAGCCAAAACCGAAGCAGTTCAGCTACAAGGGCAGTTTAACAGTGTGGTAAATACAAAGCAGCACCCAAATGAGAGCCATTTTGGCAGAAATGTAACAATATTAAAACATCAGGGCTAAATGTTAGGGATTCAGATCTCTCAGAATGGAAAAGTCTCTTTAAACAGGTAGGATTTGCTCAGGGCTTGAAATAACCATCACTCACAGGGGACAAGGAGGAGAAAGAAAAGTCACCTCAAACAGGGCAAAACCAAGAAAAACCCACATGGTCTTTGCTTCCACACCAGCCAAAACTGCTAGAGCAGTCCTGATCCCAGCAAGGATTCGATATTTTAAGACAGCACCACTCTTGCTCCACATCCATTCAACACATATTTATTCAGCGTAACAGATGCTGACGAAACATCTGCTGAACAGAAACAGGACGTTGCGCATGCCTGTTGTCGGCTCTACGGGAGGGGTCACTGGTCCTACAAACGGTGTGGGCGTGCCTATTACCTGTTCTGCGGGGTGAGTCTGTCTTTCAATGGTTGGTTGTGTGTGTGTGTGTGTGTGTGTGTGTCTATTCTCAGTTCTAAGGACAGTGTCTGTGTCTTTACCATTAGTTCTACAGACAGTGCATTGTGTCTATATCACTGGTTCCATGGGGGGGGGGTCCCTGTCACTCAATGGTTTTACTGGTGTGTATATCTCTACTAATAGCTGGATGGACAGAGTGTGTGTCTATCACAATTCTATGGGGTGGGTCTTTCAATGGCTGGGTGTGTGTGTGTCTATCACAGTTCCAGGGGGCATATCTCTCAGTAATCCTATGAGGTGAGCAGATAGGTCTAACATTGATTCTATGGGTTCTGCACATCTAACACTGGTTCTATGGATTCTGTCTACCACTGGCTTTCCAGGGCTACAGGGGCAGTGTATCAAATTGCAGCTAGTGGGGACAAATGAAAGGGAGAGGTTTTTTTTCCCACATTCTTCCCTAAGAAACTCTGATGAGCATTTTCTAGGGAACTTAATTCCTCCCAGTTCTCCCTGAAGCTCGCCTCCACTGCAAGAATCCTGCCGTGTGAAACCCCTCACTGGGCGAAAACACACCCCTTCTCTCTGGTGTGCGAGCAGCACCTGTCCATAGTCCATCCCTTCTGCTCTCCTCTCCTCCCACACATCCCCCATCTGCAATCTCAGTGTCCTGCGGTTTGAGGTCATATATCCCCAAACACTCCCAGGTTCAGGTCCCTAACGCCAACTGCCTCCTCAGGACCTGCAACATCTTCTAGCAACAGAAACCCAGAATGCCCAAAACCAACCCCATGCTCTTGAACCCTGCATCCTCCTTCTGTGGAGCTGTTCACCTACATCTTCCTTCAATGCCTCACTGTCAAGTTTTTCATGGTGGTTGAAAACAAGGTGCCACTGCCAAAATTCTCTCTGCCTACAGGAGGGAAAACACAACTCCATGGGAAACAAATCACCTCTACACTGTAAGAGCTACAGGAGGAAAACCAATCTATTCTTGCTAGCACACTTTCCTACTCCATCTCTTATCTGCAGCTAAAAATTTAACTATAGAAGAAAAACCATGACATGTTTTCACTTGAGGAAAAATAACACTTTCTCATCTTTAATATCTGCACTTTGGAGGCAGGATAGAAACTAATAGCACAGTGCAGACTGCCCACACCTAAGTCACAACCACACGTCGGCATGCGCACCAGAGAACTGAGCTTCCTAATGTGAGCTGAATCCACTTTGAATTATTTTAAAAGTAATTACTTTGCCAGCTATGTTATTTTAAACTTAAGACATACCCCACAGCTCAACACCACAGTTAACAAAATTCCACTAATTTACTATGAGAACTATCAGGAAACAAAAAAAAAAGAGTTTTCAAACAAAAGAAAAAGTTTCAAGTTACTAACATTATATAAAAATAAGAAACAGGCAGAAGAAACCCAGACAAATCAGGTTAAGTCCAGGCAGGCTGCCTTTTCTCCCTTAGAAAAAAAGAGCTCCCAATTCTGCGGGTGCCAAATGGGGGGGTCTCAAGATCAAGTTCCCCAAAATACCCTATGGTTAGTTTCCAACAAGAGGGCGCCGCTGAGGTGTGCCACCCACAACATACACTTGCTTCCAATTAGGAAGCATAACTTCCACAAACACCCAAGGCGAGCCTGCTGTCAGGAGACCCTGCGGGGGGGGGGACGGGAAGCCCCTGGCTGCCAGACCCTAGCCAGCCCACTCCTGGCTTCCGACTCGAGGCTCCCTGCTCGCCCACCACTGTCCAGGCTCCTGGGCAGTCACGCCAGAGGAAACGCACCATCAACAGGAGGGGCAAGGGGCAGCAGGGGCACAGGTAACTCCCACGCAGTCTAGGAAGCCTTATAGTAGCATCTATCAAAAAAAAGCATTGAAATCAACCTGAGAGGCAAAATTATGGCCATTCATAACAGACAGAAGAGCACATAGCAGGTAAATTGATTAGAAAATACTCAATCGTCCTACTATCCCAAGAAAAGCAGCATTTTTTGGCTTGTCTGGTAGCTAAAAATAAAATTCACTGGTATTTTTAGCTCAGTTCTGTGCTACCTTTCCAGGGGCTGGCCGGGGCAGCAAGTCTTCCCTTTCTTACCATAAACTAGAAAAATGCTGAAAACAAGAGAATTTAAACATAGACGAGCAAAAGAAAAGTAAAAAACGAAGTGCCAAAAAGCAAAGAAGAAACCCTCTCACTGGGGGAGGGGAGGCAGGCCTGCTTCCAGGCCCCAGCGGCTGGGGCCACACCTAACGCAGGAGAAAAGAGACCTGCTCCAACCTAAGCAAATAAAACTGGATCCCTTAGTAACCTGAACAGCTGATGTAAAGTCGGCTGGAAGCTTCTGTGCACTGGTCTAGAGAAACAGCAAGGAAGTGTGCGGGCTGCTCACAGACACAGATGGGGACACAACCTAAAAGAAACTGAAACCCAGAGGCCGCACCTGCCTGGCAGCACCACTTCGACCTACGCTCTCCTCTTGCAGGGCTACCAGGACCTGCCTGGGACAAAAAATTCTCTGGGAGTCCCTGAAAAAGCAATGTTATTGCTCTCTGCAGAAATATTTCTATAACCCAGGGCACACAGGAACCCACCATCAGGAATGAACCCACCATTAAACAATATCAGCCACAGAAGGGACTGAGCTGCCAGGAGAGTGAGCAGATGTGGCATATAAGGGCCAAGTAGAAATAAGAGGAAAGTCAAGACCTAATGTAATGTATTGTTTAAAATGACATGAAAGGCCAGGTGCGATGGCTCACACCTGTAATCCCAGCACTTTGGGAGGCCGAGGAGAGCAGATCACAAGGTCAGGAGATTTAGACCACCGTGGCCAACATGGTGAAACCCCATCTCTACTAAAAATACAAGTATTAGCTGGGCATCGTGGTGCGCACCTGCAGTCCCAGCTACTTGGGAGTCTGAGGCAGGAGAATCACTTAAACCCAGAAGGCGGAGGTTGCAGTGAGCCAATATCCCATCACTGCCCTCCAGCCTGGCAACAGAGTGAGACTCTATTTCAAAAAAATATATAAAAATTTTAAAAAATTAGATGACAGGAAAAATACACAATTAGGACCAGCCACAATGAACAGAAAAGGCATCATGAGATTAAAAACATCTGAAGCAGCAGCAAAACTTCTAGAAATAATAATATGGTTACTAAAGGGAAATCTCCGCAAACAGGTTATGATCACGGTGAGGAGGGAACTGATGAACCGACAGGCAGAGAAACGGACTACAATTAATGTAGCAGTGAACCAAATACACAAAGCACACTAAAAGCAACACAGGAGAAAATAAGACATTTAGTAAGATATGCAGGAGAAAACACAGGGAATGAGCAGGAAACAGTCCTTGAGAAGGTACCTTCCGGAGCTGAAGAGCTCTGGGCTCCTTGGGCTGAGAACGTACAGCCAGCCCCGAGCAAACCAGAGTCCACCGAGACACGGGAATGCTGCACAGCCCGGCGAGGGCCAGGTCTGGAAAGCCAGGTGCAATGCCCTCCCCGACCCAGCGGCAGCTCCACCATCACAGGCTGGGTATTTCCACCTCTCATGAGAAGAATACACTTCCGTGAGTCCTTATTGGCCTCTTCTACTTGACTGCAAGTTGCCCAGCCACTTCTCTCTCTGTTTTAGTGGTTATGCTTTCATTGGCGACATACCACTGACCCAACAAAGTCCAGAGTTAATCATCAGCACTGGCTTCAACCACCAGAGCAGATGTGGCCCTGAAAGCAAGCGGGAAGTCCCACTTCCTCCTCTGACCTCCCGCACCAGAGCGTGGAGTGTGGTTTGCTGGGTGTCCCTCACACACACTCAATGCCGGTGTGCCACTTCCTGAACCACATGCGCCCTCCTAGTGTTCAAGGGATGATTTACTAATACTCTCAATCTTTGTCTGAAAATATTCTAATCGTGCCATTACTGTTTTTTCCCAAACTTTAAGATAGAAACGTATAACTATACATAAACACACAGAGAATGAGCATGTACGCTCTTAACAGCGGTAGCTGTCCTCAGCACTGAGCCAGCCTCATCTCATCCACTCCCGCCTTGTTCTCTGCTAGAAGCACGACCGGCAAGTCTCAGAAATGACGTCATCGTCTCCACCCACCAAACTTCAGTGTTAGGAAAGAAGCCTTTCTTCTTCAAACTCAAAACCCTAACATCAGACCATGATCACACACCTGACAACATTAATG